TCACAGGATAGATAACCAGACACAAGCGTTCCTGGCAAGAGGCACGGATTGGAGTCACTCCACAGGCAGCACAGAAGAGGACGACGAACAGCGGCTCTGCATCGGCAATGATACTGGATACATAGTCCTCCTTAAACAGAGGTTGCAAGAATTTGTCCAAAAAACTAAACAGCAGGAAGACGACGTAAAATATGGATTTCCACTCAAGAAGTGTCTATTGTGCCATGAGACATGAACTAAAGATGGAATGAATCTAAAAATTAATGAAGGGGAACCTCACTGAAGTCGGCTCGGGGGCTAGAACGGGAGGCTGGAGTGACATCACTCGATGTCTCTCACAGGAAGAAATGTCTATTACAGACCCAAGAGAAGAACAATCAACAGTAAAGAAACCTCAGCTACAGGGCCCGGCAAGCCAAGACAATGCAATGCGTGCCCTAAACAAAATCAACCACCCTGCAACTCAGCCAACCAGGGACCGTCACCACCATGAACCCTTGTTTCTCCCCAATGGATGTTTGTTCAATCCCCGCCCCCGCCACATACAACTTCCTCCTTCTTCTCCATAAAACAACGTTCCTCTCCTTTGTTTCTTGGATTTGCCTATGGTTTTGCCATGGTTTGCTTGTCCTGAATTGCAATGTTCTGCTATTCCTGAATAAACTCACTTCTACTGGTAAAATAACTACTTGTCTTATTTTTAAGATTAATAAGATGTTCAAGATTAGCAAGACACTAAAGATACCACTTACCTCTTTTGTATCTCTTATGCTTATAATCTATAAACAACTGAGTGTGCATATGTTAGGGTGAAGGCTCAAGGCTTATTTCCTGATGGAGTGCCTACAAACACGCTTTAGAGACCACAGCCTACACTCAGTTCTGCTCACGCCCAGCCCCAGGATCCCCGGGCCAGAGCACGTCTCATTACACACCCCACTCAGAAGGCTCAATCCGTCCTAAATGATTAACTCATCACTCTACCATAAAGCACACGACACTTGCTATATGTGTTTCTCGAAGTTCTGGCAGTAAAGGTCCCTACAATGTGTAAAGCTGTAGCAGGATTCTAAATTGATCATTTGTGGGAGGGCCACAATCTCTAGACAGGTTTCCAGTAATATTTCAAACTGCTACTATTGCTTTGGGAATCCAACCCACATCAGAGCACACTTGACAGGCTCATGCCTTGCCCCCTCTCTCCCTGAAATTTTAAGGCACAAAGAAAACAAGAGAGAATCTTATCTGGGCACACAAAAGTCAGGTTTTACCGGGCAGCTCTCTCAGACGACTGTTTGACTGTTCCTGGACATTATTCTCAGGAATCCGGTCTCAACTACTAAGCCTATATGAGGTCTGTAGTCAAATTAGCATTATAGAGGACAAAAGAATGTTAAGTGGTCTTCAGAATGAAAAGCCACGGTTTGTCAGCCCGAAGGAGGATCAGCTAAAATGATATGCTAGCTGAGGACTTTGTTTGAAGAGCAGGCATTGAAATGAAAGACGTGAAAACACGGGAAGGAGGCAGGCGGCCGTGTCTCTCTCCCCCTAAGCCTCCTCCCCGGCAGAGACTCTCATTACGCCTGGCGTCCTGCGCATCGGGTCAGAAGTGATGATGTGTCGAGGTGTGCAGGCGGCCGTCACACAATGATGGATTGATCATCGTGCGGAATTCCTCTCATCTCCTGACTCTACCCTTTTCTCTGATTTTAAGGAGAAGCTCTTATTCACATATTCATTCAGTTCAGAAGATCTGATCCACAAAAGTTAACTCAATGTAAAATCTTCAAAGCAAAAACCAAAAGCAGGTCGACAGGTTTATAAAAGCTTGCCTGGGTCTGACCTCAGAATAGAAACGTCTACTCTCGGGTGAGTTCAGCCCATTCTTTTTCTGGCGTGCACCTGAACTGCGGGAGCCAGCGATGAAAAATTCATGCAGGGCGCTTCAACGGTCCCACCTATGTCCTTGACATCTGCTGGCTTCACGTCACATCACAACTTCAAAGCAAATCCACCCCTGAGATGGCAGCAAGCTTTCACGGGGGAGGAGAACGGAGAGTTCAGAGATGGCCTCTCCTTCAGGACAGGAGGTATCTGTGCAGCACATGCTGCAATTTATCTTCTTGGCCAGACAAAAGGGGGAGAAACGTGAAGAGATGAGAACGCCAGCCACCAACCATGCACCAACAGCAGGCGGCACCATTATGGGACTGCATTTCCCCTCTAATTGTCACGCTTTTGTAAACATTTATTTATTTCTATTTAAACCCTCTTTATCTTCTGCTTCCCATACGCTTCCAGTGTAGGTAAAGCGTTTGGCAACCGAAACGGTGGCGAGGTTTTGAACTCTCAAGTCCACAGTTGCTGGGGAAGATACATCACTCTCCCTGGAGGGGCTGGGTGCTAGGGCATCACTCATTTAGATGTTTGGAGGCAAGGCCGGCCCCCCTGTGCTCTCCCACCTGACACTGGGCTGTCCTGCAGGAGGGACAGCTTATTCTTACCATAGGAAAAGAGAGGTGGGCCCACCGGGCACTCTCCAATTTCAAATCAGCTACAGTACAAGGCACCAGGAACTTAACCTCCAGTTACCCCTACCAACCTCAGTCGTATTCACTACGGAAACATTCTTTATTTTACTCTCCTGATGCCGAAGAAAAATTTATCTTCGTTAAATGATAATTGGCTGTAGCATCTTTGGATTCTTCAGAAATGCTGGCTGGCAAGTTTTGAAAAAACATTTCATCAATCTTGTTTGGTGTTTTTACAAAGCCTCCATCAGAAAAAAAAAAAAAAAAAAAAAAAAAAAAAAGAAAGAAACAAAAGATGTGTAAGTGTGCTGAGGACACCTCATCCCCAAGCAGCCTCCCCCCGTGCTGCAGGGAGTCCTGAACTATAGGTTCTGCCACTGTTCCGGAAGGAAGCGACATGTAAACACACAGTTCTGGGGTTTCTGCAGATTTATCAATTTCCTGATCTTTAGAGGTTTCAAAATAGGATTTTTAGTGAGAAAGCGCATAATTGAGTGCCATTTAACTTTCAGCTAAATCCAATATGTCAACAGAATGTTATCCTAAGAATCAAAATAAGACCGGTTCCTCAACCTTCTCATTCTTCACATTTTACTTGGACCCAATAAAAAGCAAAGACTATATAAGGAAACAGTAGGCAGCTTTTCTCCTGAGATTTAAAACAAGTCCGTCCGTATCACCAACCTCTTTATAACCCACCTTCCACACATTTTACCCGGTGCCAATGAAAAGATAAAAATACACAAGGAGCAAAATGCAAGGCAGTTAATTATAATATTTATGAGCTACTCCCAATACACTCCTGGGTTGGAGTAGAAACTGAAATTACTGAAAAAGCATTTACATATCCCAATTACCTAACGCTACGGTATCCATTAATATGGCAACTTGCAAAATCACTGTTTTAGTTTTGTTTCCTACTGGCCCTTCTACAATAGGCAATGTAGAACACCATGGGTTCAGATTATTTCATAACTCTTTGATGTTAGCATTACATTAACCAGAATATTTGTGGAATTTTTTTCTCTCTTCCAACAGACTGAGGCCAATTTCCTTGTTTCTGACCTAGAATGTTACCAGTTTGACCAATTATTATCCTGGTAGGTATATCACAATTGAGTGATAAATCTATTTTCTAAATAGAAGAAATGGCTGTAATTGTAAAACTTGCAAAACACTAAAGCAATCAATCTATTTAATAATGTGATTTCCATCTGTTGTTATCGGTGCTGAAAAAAATTCTTGAGAAGTCATATTTATTTCCACTCTGGTCCTTTAAATATCAGTACCTCCTGGCCTATATTTTGTGAACACCACACCTGGTCGATGCACAGAACTCTCCAAAGCCTTAAAAAGGCCATGGGGACAGCCCAGTCTGTGCCCAGTCTATAATCTGGAGATCAGGCTTCAATTCCCAGGAACAAAGGGGCTGATGGCAGGACAATGGCCACTTGGGGGCACTTACCGGGAACGTGAGGGGACGTAGAAGCCGACCAGGTAACCCCGGGGTCTCCTACCCCACGTTTGCTACAGACACTCCCTCGGCCAGCCCTACTTGGCTTCGTGCAATCGTATCCCTCGGGGAGCACAAGCAGCAAACGCTATGATCCCAACCCATGAATGAAAGGAAACTTTTCAAACCCGAGGGGGAAGCCGCTGCTCAGAGACGTTTCTCAAAAAGGCGACGTCTGCTACCATACAGACAAAATCACTTACTTCACTCTTGTCTGATGTGATCACGGAATTCTGAAGTCCAAAACTCTTTCCCGCCTGTATTTTCTCAATACAAAATCACCTCATTTCATCCCATGAAGCTTCATGCTGCAAACGCCTGGCGACGGGCCCCGTGAGACGCACGCTTTAATCTTTTAGGGCAGAGTTTTTGCTTCTGGTCATTTTCCCCTTCTCCAGCAATCAACTCTGGGAGAATTCCTAGGGACCTCTCCAAAGGCCAAATGTTTAAACGAAGTTTCCTCAGACTAACATTTCTGTGAATAAACTGCAGGTGTAACGGTGATTGTGCGTGTTCTCTTCACAATTCCATTAAATCAGGTAGAAAAAATGGTCAGCTCATTATGATTAAGGAACACTGCTAATTTGAACACAATATTTATGTTTTCTCAAGGATTTTATTTTTAAATTAACATAACCTGTGCCCAATCTAGTCTCAAGTAAGGTTCATTGATGGAACTCCTTATAAACCGAGATTTGTTGTTAAAAACAGTACACGTTAAAAACGATTTTTGAAACCCCCAAAACGAATAAGATCTTGCAGTGGGCATCACCTGTTGTGTTCACATTTTACGCGTACAGCTTCGAAGAAAGCAACTATTGACAGTGGATCAATATCGAACCATGGCCACCATCCTAGAGACAGAAGATTGATTGCAAAGGGCCCCGTGAGACATGCATTAATTAAATCAAGACTTTATTGCTTTCAGAATTACCATGTGGCGTCTCAAAACTCACCTGCTACGCTCAGGTGAACGAGCGGGCTGGTCTTGCTGTCTCCGTTGCGTTCGTTGACGGCCTGCGCGTAGTAAACCCTGGCATCACCCGCTGTCGCTGCAAGGATCACCAGTTGATTTTCCAGTGTGATGGCTCTGTGTCAGACAAGAGACAGCGTCAGAGCCACTCCACAGCGCTTCTTGTTCGTAAGGCAAATTAGTTTATCAGGCCAATGAGAGAGGCGTGTCCAGGGCTTTAAAAAGATCTCGAAGGACAAAAACACACAGGCCGAGCTGAGGCACATGGCGGTGGCTGAGCCTCCTCTGGCCTCGTCCACACTCCAGTAGGGAGGCTTTGAGCCCTCTGCTTCCCTACTGACCCTCGGTTGTGAGGCACTCACATATCCAGGGTTAGTTAAAAACTCAGAGCTTCCCCTGGGAACTTGTAACAAGTTCAAGAAATCCCAGAAGGGCTGGTCTTTTTCTTTCAGGCAGGGCCGTGAGATCACACCATGGCCACAAACTATAAATAAACTCTCAGATGGAAGGCGGAACCGTCCAAAACCTAGACCGGGGGGCAAATGAATTTGCTGCGGTTTTCTCCGCCTTCCAAGGAACCTCATTAGGGTTTCTGTACCTCTGTTTCTCAACTGGCGGGTAGAAGAAAAGTCGCCAGTGGGCATGGTGCTGGCCCTTTCAACTGGATTCTCCCATAACTGCTGATGCCAGGCCTGCTCGTCCTTCACCCCAGCCATCTCCCCGCCCCGCCCATTTCACAGTCTGACCCCTCCTCACGGAGACTTCCCGTAGAGCCCAATTCTGCTGCAGGAAAGAACCTGGGAGACACATTTGGCCAGCCACCCTCTCTTCAGAAATGAGAAAACTGAGGAACAGGGAGGTTAAGTTATTCGTTCAAGGTAACCTAGCAAGGTAACAATACCAGGGGGAGGACAGGATCTTCCCACGTATGAACAGATGCTCTGCCAACCAGATCACACCCAGACTCACCAGGTTATTCAAAAGAAGAGGAAGAAGAACAACAAAGACACAACTTCCATAAATCCAAGCAGCTTTTAATTAAAATAAGCTGTCCTGGTATCCTCTGCTCTTGCTAGCATTTGTAGACTTTGCTACAAAACACAAAATACAAAGGGCGGCCTCCCACTGAGAGTAAGACACATTCTGAGCACCAAAGGGCTCTTAGTTCCCAATGCTGGGAGCACCTTGGGACCTGAAGTGAATCCCACGGCTGCACACAAGTTGTCATTCTACAGGAAATACGTTTATTTGTTCATTTTATTTTATCTTGATTAATTAATCCATTTATCTATTTTAGAGAGACACAGAGAGAGCAAGCGAGCAAGCACGCGAACAGGGGGGCAAGAGGCAGAGCAGGCCCTACGCTCAATGTGAAGCTCAACGTGGGGCTCGATCCCACGACCCTGGGATCATGACCTGAGCCAAAATCAAGAGTCGGACGCTCAACCACCTGAGCCACCCAGGCGCCCCTATTTGTTCATTTTAATCCTAGGCAGTCGTAGCCTTTCCAAATCCAGATAAGGTCTCCATTCTGGTAACAGAAAAAACACAGAAACTGGGTGATCTGTCACAGGGAATTTTACTATAATAATAATTTTTTCCTTCCTGCTACCTTCTGGAAGGCTTTTTCAAAAACTCAACTTTTATACATTATACAAGATTATCTTGAGAAGTTAACTGCTTATTCAGGGTTCCCATATGATATATTGCAGCTTGAGGTCTCTAAGACTAACTCACCTCTTTCTCACAAAAATTTCCCTATTAACAAGTTTTCAATTTTTATTCCCATAAAAATACCTCAAAGAAGCTTTACTATAATTATTTATGACTCCTTTATAGATTCCTTTATAGAACCACAGAAATTGTTCCATTTTATTTTAGTGCACGTCACACCAGCACCTAAAATTAAATATGAATATTTATTACACCTGAAGTTACACCTTAATAGTATAACTTTAAAAACTGAGTATGTCATAACTTTTTTCCTTAACATCTGATTTTTGCCATAGTAATTTCAAATATGCCTATGATTTCTCAGAATTATTCTGCAAAAATGCCTATTAATTGTCTATATTATTTATGACATTGTCTCAAGGCTATTAAAAATAAAAAAGTACATAAAGAACAAAAATATTAAAGTTTACATCTATGATAATTTGTATCTTTAAGCCCATTTTTTCTTCTAGTTTTTAATTTCTAGACCATTTTAAGTCAAAACTTATGAGGAAAAACTTGTCTATGCCAAAAAAGACACCGCAAAAATGCCAAAGCTTTGGAGAACATTAGATTAATGAGGACTTTATTCTTTCTTCCTCTCCAACTCTTTCTGAACAGAGCATGTCTAATGAAGAAACTGATTTTTTTAATGAAAATTAAACTATCTAAAGACGGTTATCTTAATTTCAGATAATTCAGATAATTGTTATAATGGTGGCGAAAAGAGAAATTTAAAAAAATTTTTTTAAATGTTTATTTTTGAGAGAGAGACAGTGTGAGTGGGGGAGCGGCAAAAGAGAGACGGGGACACAGAATCCGAAGCGGGCTCCAGGTTCTGAGCTGTCGGCACAGAGCCCGACGCGGGGCCCAAACCCATGAACCGTGAGATCATGACCTGAGCCGAAGTCAGACGCTTAAACGACTGAGCCACCCAGACACTTCTGAAAAGAGCAATTTTTAAAGACAGTGGAGCAGGTACCACACGTTCATTCTTCTTCCCCAACAGACCTTGATTCTGCTGAGCCCACACCTTGTGTGGGGCACCACACATGAGGGCAAATCGGCCCATTCGCAGCACCAGGCGTGTCTCTTGGTCATCGGAGGCCAGTACAGGTACCGGTGCCACGCTCAAGACCATCAGGGGCTGGTCCGGGGACCCAAGTTGCCCAGCAGGCTGAAGGAGGCAGAGCTTGCTGGGGGGGGGGGGGGGGGGGAGCTCTCACCCCTCCCGGAGGCCAGGCAGGAAATGTGCTGTCCTGAGCTGCAGGCAGCCACCCTTGCAATGCAGAGGAAAGGCGGTGCGTAGATAAGAGCAGGAGGAGGGACAGAACTTTGAGAGTCAGAGCAAATTAGTCAACAACCTGAAGGCAATGATGAGGAAGTATGCTGAGTGATCCTTCAACATGACTCTCACATGTGTCCATAAAATATTCTGTGAAAACCTCTGGTTACTGAGGTGGGGGTTGACTTCCAACATTGATTCCACATCTCCAGCATTTTACACTAGCAAAGTGGTTTGCAGAATTGACCCCATCTAGTCTAAACTGATCATCGTAATCCAACCCCTCTTGCCAGTGACTGAGAAAGGAGACCGGGCTTGAACCAGGTGGCTTTGGCATGTATGTGGTGACTGTCCCTACTCTGGGGCAGCTGCCTCTAGGCCCCTCTCACCAGATGGAAGGACAGGGTTTCCAGGGCTGGGCACCAGGGCTTTTCTCCCGCCACTAGATGCGAGCAAGGAAGCGTGTTGTCCAGATGTTCACAGTGGCAATGGGGTGACCACGAAGAGAGCCACCTTAGTGTGACGCTTATGACGTCGGCAGCAGGAGAGAGAAAAAAGAAAGAACTGGGGTCTTTCCACCTTGCCAGCTGCCCCAGTCAATGAACCACATCCTGCAGCCCATCCCGTCTCTGGGCTTGCTATTTCGGGGAATGAGGTACTTCGTTCATGTTTGAACTTGTGTAAGTTAGGGTTTCTGTTACCAGAAGTCACATGAATCCAGATACAGCATATACAGTAGCGTCCCTTTAGAGTTCAAAAAGAGAAGAAGGCATCCTCAGGGCATAAAATGTTAATAGTTCCTGTTGAGTGGTACGATTATAACTTATTTTCTTTCGATTTCTGTGTTTTAAAACATTTTTCCAATTTTTCCAGGATAAATCACTTTTGTTACAGAAGAACAACTTTCAAAATGAACGCAAGGGCACGCACTGAATACTTTGCCCATAATATGGACTACTTGGCTTTTTTATCACATAATTCCAAAGTACTAATTTAAAACTTACATTGACTCTGCAGGAAAATTATAGTATTAAGCCAGAGAGATTCTTCCTTTATTTTAACTTTATTAAAATAAACGTACGTATGGTTTTACATAAAACTATTTCCTTAGTCTTCCCCATTTTAATTCTACATTTCAAAATGAAATCTTGTAATTCTAATTCTTTGGGATAGTGATAAAGATAAGAACACACTAACTTAAAAACGTAATCCAGTATGGGTAAAATGCACCACAGCTTGGGAAACCAGAGTGTCAGACTCATGAAGGACAAGTTAAAGGGTCACCTGCTACTGACTATAAGCACAGGGAGTTTTCAGAGAGAAACCTATCAGCTGTCCTTCGTCGTGGGGCTGCCCTAAGGAGGAGATGCTGTGATTCACAAGAGAGCTCATTTTAAAGGGCACGTTCCAAGTGCCTTTGACTCTGCACTTGATTCTCCCAATACTTTCTTGAGGCAGTAAGCAAAATAAGAATTCTCTATTTTGGGAAAGTTAAAACCTCAGAGAGTTCCTTGGGGTCTCTGACCGCCAGCACTGATCAGAATCCCCCGTGAGGGAAAAACGCCCCTGGGTGCCTAGACCCAAGGGCTTATGCATGTGATGTGTGGGGTGGGGGTGGGGAGCCAACCAGGGGGCACAGCTACAAGTGAGTTTCCTGCCACACCTGCCAACGTCCGAGGACGTCACATTCTGGACGCCATAAAGAACACCTGCTTTCCAACCTGTGGCACAGATACATTAATTACAGAAGTGCCCTTGGTGGTGGAAGAAAACAGCCCAGCATGCGCCTCACCTTGGAGCTGCAGGAATGGAAGGGCAGATGTTCGCACGGACTGCCATGGGAAGAGACGTAAGTAACTGTGTCCACTGTTCAGTCAGCCTGGAGTCCCCAGGCCTAACTCAGAGTGGAGGAGATACGAAGCTGAACCAAGTGCACACACACTGCCCATATCCCAAGGAGCTCAGATTCAGTGTTCGTTTTTAAAATTTAACTTAATTAAAAAATGTTTATGTAGTTTTGAGAGAGAGCAAGCAGGGGAGGGGTGGAGAGAGAGAGGGAGACAGAGAATCCCAAGCAGGCTCTGCACCGTCAGCACAGAGCTGGATGTGGGGCTTGAACTCACGAACCACGAGGTCATGACCTGAGCCGAAATTAGGACTCAGACGCTTAACCGACTGAGCCCCCTAGATTCAGTGTTTTTACAAACTACAGGAAGTAATAGGAAACACTTTATTAACTTTCCCCTAAGAGTGGCTGTGGGCCCAAAGTGGCAGTCCCGGGGGACATCCAAAAAAATCTCCATGATGTGCCTCAAAACTTTCAATGCAACCCATCCTTGGGCTTTCAAAAAAAGATAAACGGTCTTCGATTATCAGTAAGTTTTTTGATCCTTGACACCGTTCACACAAACTGGATGGTAATACATACATTGATTTATACACTATGATAAAAATTCAGTGAAGGGTTCAGTAAAATAAGAACTGTGCCCATAAAACATAAAAGTCTAACTTGGGTTTGTGGTTTTACTGTCACAAATGGTAAGGCAGCATTTGATTAAGCTTGTATTGATATTCAAGTACATTTTTTTAAAAACTTTAGAGCACAAGGAAATGAAGGACATTATTTTTAGGTCCTTAAAAACACAAACATCTAAAATGTTCTCCATGTTAATTAAACAATTAAGTTTTGAATGGAATGGTTTAAGGCTTATTGTTCTGAGTATAGCCTGCATCTCAAGCCTTACAGCCTCACAGCTACTTCAAGGCAGACAACTTCAAAATTAATGTACTCCCATTACTGGTATAGTTATAAGAACTAAGATTGCTTTCGAGTAGTTTTGGCAATAATGAGTCTCTGGATATTCAATAAACGTTAAGGCACCGGAACGTCATGTGTATTTAGCCACAAAGTAAACACGTGCTGCTGACCGTTTGCGGTGGGTGCAGGAAGAACATTCTGAAAGCAAGTGAAGAATGTGAGAGGCCTGTTTCTTAGAATTTCAAACCAACAGAAAGGACGAGGTGAGCTGAGAAGACAAGAATACTCAGGATAGATGGCGGGAAACACTGGGTACATGGGATGGCAATTCAGCACCATTGTACCGGGAACACAGCCCCCAAGGAGAAAGGCAGCCATCAAATGTGAGAAGGGTGGCTGTCCAGTAACTGTCCAGTAACACACACACTGTCCTTCTTTGGTAGGAGAAAGGCCACGAGAGATGGAAGAAAGAGACAGGGAGGGGCTGGGCCAACTTTCCACCAGCTTAGTTACCACTGTGGTCCACGCCTTGCCAAACATTTCAATTTAGTCCACAGAGGGCCTCTTTTCTATAGCATGTATAGGTAGTTTCATAAGGGCAAGTATATGGGGAAATAGAGGTAAATTTATATAAAGTCTTCAAAGTAATTCTTCTATTCTATATGAAGTGTCCACTCTTAATTACAGATACAAGTGGGAGTACATTACGGGATAGGATGTCTGAGATGATTACCAACTTAAAACTGTTTGGATGTGAGGTATATTCAACACTCACATGTTCTGCTTTATGCACACTTGTCCCCCAGTATTTAAGCACAGAGCCTGACTGAAAGGATGTAATCAACATACACATGTTGAATGAATAACAAGGAGAAAACATACAGGTATTCATTTTTCTCTCTTCATGTTTCAGCTTTCAACTCCATCTTGGTGCCAGAACCCAGGCCAGGAAAGAGATAATCCAATCACCCCATGAGTCTGTATGGAGTGACTGCTGTGTGAATGACACTGTCCAGGGAAGGTCCCTGAACACGAGGAGGGAAGAACACATCCAAAAGACAGAAGAAGAAAATGCCAGCCGTATGAAGTCCCCAATGCGTATTGTATAGAATGTTAAAGGAGGAGGAGCCAAAGAGTCAGCCAAGCCACCAGAAAACGTGGAGATCTGACATCTATCTTCCTGGTGACAGCTCCTTAAGAAGTAAAATGTAGATGTCACATTAGAAGGACAGGCCAGGTCCTCTAGCCCAAAACATATGTAACACCTCAGGAACGGGGGGGCTGCCCCTGGAGGTGACATGGAAGGAAGGACCGGTTTCCTACCCACGTGTCTGGCCTTCGACCCAAAGCTCTGGCCCAGGGCTCCTGTGAGACAGCACATGTCCCAAAGGACAACACGTCCGAATTTCTCCCAACCCGTGGGCCTGGCCTGCGGCTTTGTAGACTGCTTGCCAGCAGCATGAGCACGGGGTGAGCATCCCGGTCAGTAGGCCCAGCCGTGGCAGAGAAACTTCCGGGTCCCATAAAGAGAAGCGGAGAGGACACCCTCCTGGGCACAATGTCTGTCTCTGAACGAGAGCAGAAAGGACACCAGAGCTCAGAGCTTCTTCACCTTCTCCAAGAGCAGCTCCTGGCGGCCCGAGATTAAACACGGCCTGCCTTCAAGGTAAAATCTCCAACGGTCTCCAGAGAAGACACCCCCTCTGTCCGCCAGTACGAGATCACGGCAGATGATAGGCAGGAACTCCATGGATAAACCCAGGCTGAAGTCATCACAATACTCTGTGTACATGCAGAAAGGTCCTTGAAATGACCAGGCAAGTGTGGCCCATGTGGATGGACAGGCCCAGAATCAGGTCTGGCTCTGATTTGTTCCCTCAGGCTCACTACTTGGTTTTTCCATCTGCGCAACAGGAGTGACCATACTCCCATCAAAAGGACCTTCGTGAAGTACCAATCAGGCAACGACGTGAATGAGCCTGACACGGCGTCCTCACTCGGTGTTTGCTGAACCTGAATCTGGCTCCTCAGTCTATCAGACGCACTGTGTCGGTAGTAAAATACTAAATGTAGTCAAATGTCCTCCTTCCAGGGTGATATATCAAATACTTGGTAGCATTCTACTTCACAGACTGCGATACAAACACGGCCGAGTCGCTGAATTACCAGATTCATGTCACAAAATGATGCAGAGCTGCTACTACCTAAAGCCATCCGCGCAGGAGCTGGACCAACGCGGCAGCAGGCGGGCCTAGGAAACCTCATTTCCAGGCCTTTCCATCCATCAACTGCCCCAGCAGCAACACCCACTGTACAAGACCTTAATGCCAGAAAATTCCTGGCCTCCTCTCGACACATGTTGACGTGTCGTAAACAGAATCGATCCTCCTCCTCTTGGAAAGATGCCGCGTATCAGCAGAGACGGAAGAGAGAGGGAAAAATTACAGGGCAACTTGATACAATTCCTGGAGGGTGTATTTCATCAGGCGTTTTTGCCCAGGAGAAATACATCTGTTTACAGCAGCGCTTCTTAAATTTTCTAGCTGCGTTGATTTATTTACTTATTTATTTTTCTAGTTCATTCATTTTATTTTTATTCTTACTTCTAGCTACTTTAAAAAAGCATTTTAGTGAGTTTATACTTGATCCAGGGCCTTCTGTAATTTTAACTAATTGTTCCAGCTCTAGGCACAAGGAAGTGACCAGGAACAATTTCTGGTGTGGTCATATGCAAAAGAGAGGAGTTGGATGAGGAAGGTTTAAAGAGTGCTGAAGTTTAGGCATAAACATTTCCAGGCACACTTCTCCCCTCCCCCCACTAAAACAAACAACCAAAAAATTAAAACAAGAAAAAAACAACAACAACAACATATAGTCTTGAGGTCCCCAAACATGAGAATTTACCCAGACGTAAAATCTACTCAAACCAGAAACCATCAACAAGGATTCCAGAAAGATGGCTAAAACCCAGGCAGGCACCAGTGGAAGTCTCCCCAGAGGGGGCTCTCCTGAGATCCTCCACATCAGTGGACAAGTCTGAAATGAGTTCACTTTATTTTTTTCAAATGTTTATTTTTGAGAGAGAGAGAGAGAGAGACAGAGTGTGAGCAGGGGAGGGGCAGAGAGGGTGAAGACACAGAATCTGAAGCAGGCTCCAGGCTCCGAGCTGTCAGCACAGAGCCCGACGCGGGGCTCAAACCCGTGAACGGTGAGATCATGACTGAGCCGAAGTCGGACGCTCAACCGAATGAACCACGAAGATGCCCGTGATGTTAAGTTCACTTTATCTTATATATGGCATAATAAAAACAAGACCTCAGTCAGCCCCAAAGCCAACGGGCACTGCCATGGTCAAGTGACTGAGCGAGTACGCAGAGCGGGTGTGTGCCCTTATGTGACCTCTGTGACAATCAGTCCCTCCCAGAGCAGTGAGCAAGTGAGGCGGACCCAGCCACTCCCACCTAGTAGGTTGGGTCGGGAGGCTGAGGCTGGCGATTTAAGCATCAGACAAGTCAGTTTCTCTCCGCACCTCCTCTTCTTCAGAATAGAGCACAGGGAGACTTTCTTCCTTCTGCAGAAGGGGCACTGGGCGGAGAGCACCTGACCCTGGCTCCACGGGGGCGGCGCCCGTGGCGGGGTGGGTCCTCCTGGCGGGATCAATCACAAGGAGCAGCTGCCATGAAGAGGGAAAGGTAGGCGGGGCCGCTGGCGGACCCCCGGGGGACACGGCTCCTGGGGATGCTCTCCCCGAGCAAGTCAGCCACCATCACTCCTCCTAGAGAAACGTAATTATCACAAAAAGGTTCCACTCTTTGTTAAAGTCTGTTTGACGACTAAGGGACAAAGCTGTGCCCGCAGAGCACAGGTGGCCTCAAGGACTACAGCTGGTCCTCAGCGGCCCCGTGAGCCCCTGGAAAACGCGAGCTCCCCAGACTACAGGGTAAGATCTTCGTGCGCAAGGACAGAACTCTGTCAGCCAGGAAGATGGAAATAAATCTAGAAGAATAGCCAACTTTCTCTTAACGACTTTCCTTCTGGACACCACGAGTAGGGGCCATGGCATATGCGTGTAAACAGAAGGCGCTTACGCACACAGCCTGGCAAACGAACGTGGGAAACGGTCAGTCCACAGAGAGAAACGGACTTATACACAAAGCTGGGAGGTACTTAAACCCCGGGCTGCTGAACTAAACCCTCAGGAACCATTACCACCTCCCTTGCTACCGTGACATGAAAATCTCTCCGGGGAGAGCTGCAGCCCCTCACGGGCTGAGCGGGGCCTGGGCGACCTCGTATTACTGCCCCCCACCCCGCGCTGGGGAACCCGGCACAGCCGCCGGCTGGGAGACAGCCAGCGGTGTTTTCCCCTGAGTTTGACTCCTCTGAGTTCCATTTCAGCGGCGGTGAACCTGTTCGTTTGGAGGGGTCTCCCTGAGGACGGACCCCCCTGGCCACCCCCAGTCGTCCCACCAGCTGGGGCTGCTTGCAGGTGTGGGGAAGGAGCAGTTAGCCCCTTTCGACCATCATGAGAAGATCCAGACTTTTCTGAGCATGTTCTATGGGCCTGGCAGCGTGCTCAGCACCCTGCACGCATCACTGGCCCCCCCAGGCTACGGACACAAAGGAGGCTGCTGGTCTGTCAGTGGGGGGTAACACGGGCTGGGGTGAGAAACAAATGGGGTAACAGAAAAAGTGATTGGCCCAATGCCTGCCCTATGCCCCAGACTCAAAAACGCTGAGCTAAGTTCTCATCCCCATTCTACAGACAGGAAACAGAGGCTAGAAGAGATGAAGTAACTTTCCCGAGGAAAGTTGAAGAATTGAGACTCTAATCCAGTCTCCTCCACCCCACCCCAGACAAATTCCCAAAAGTTCCCTCACCTGAGTCTCCCTCGACCCAGTTAGGCAAGAGGCCAAGAACAGTATTTGACACAAACTCTCGTCCTGGCATTCAGCAGGGTTGAGGCCCCGGGGGTAAGCCCCTCCCTCCCTGTGCTATCTCTGTCTCTCTCTCTCCCCCACTTCTCTAGGACTCATGCCTGGCTCCTCAGCAGCTAAGACAGTGCCCAGCATGCGGCGGTGGCCACGGAGCCGGTGTTGCACTTGGGTTTGACAAAGTCCCATGGGAGGACATCGACCAGGAGGACAAGTGCTCCACAACATGCCAGATCTTGACAGAGGAGCCCCGTGCCTCTGAGGTAGAGAAGCTGGAGGTGAGGGTCCCTCTGAGTGTCAGGGCAGAACACCAAAGCCGGGCCTCCCTGAGAATTCTGGTAAGAATTCTCTTCCCTACTAGGTCCAACCGTTGTTCCTACTAACAAGAGGCAGAAATCAGAGGCGTGGGGTCGGCTATGAAGATTAGTGATCATTTCCTTTGGAGACAGACAATCTTTTTTCTCAAGAACTACCCACTTCGGACTTGCCCAGGAAAAGCTTTATAAAACCATTTGATTTGGACATTAGGATGGGTCTAAAATGAGAAATTAGGCAGGCAACTCAGATTTGCAAGGGTAAATGGTGATAGGCCCAAAATACAGCTGTAAATAACTTAAAGAAGACCATTTTGGGAAAGTCTAAGTATGCTGAAACATTATTAACCATGACAATGCACCCGTGAGATAAAGACAGCGTGCAAATTTTAGGTAGTATCACTCATAGTGCCTAGATACCCCCCAGGAAAACACAATGAGGGAAATGGATAAAAATAGTAAAAAAGGGTAAGAGTCACTTTTCCCAACTGTCTCCACATCCTGCCGCGGTTAATGACCACGCCGTTCATCTCCATGACAGACACAGCCCAGTAACATAAAACAGAATTGCCTCCACTTGTCTTAGAGACGCGCACCGTTGTCCATCAGGCGCCGGTGTGTTTGCTTGCGGTCCTTGGCCACATTCCTCAATTTTCCGTCTGTCACAAGCCGTGTGTAACTAGTGCCCTGGCCCAAAATGATGAAAATGAACCAGGCGCTAGGTGTGAACACAGTGAAAGACCACAGCCAACTGTGCCAGAGTTATCCAGAGGTAAAGACCTCCAAGACCCCCCACCAAGGAGCGGTGGGAAAAGGCACGACGCAACTCTTTGCCTCCGTGTGCAATGCATGCAGCTGCTCCAAGGCTACAGAATGGCCCCCAAGATGGCCTCGTCCTCACGCCCAAAGCCTGTCGATAGGTTATGTCACACAGCACAGGGACTCTGCAGATGTGATTAAGGATCCCAAGATGGGGAGATGATGCTGGACCATGTGGGCAGATCCAAACAATCACAAGGGTCCCCAAAAGGGCAGGCAGTCAGGAGAGTCAGAGCCAGAGAGAGCGCCGGCTCCGAGGGTGGCCGAGGGGCCATGAGTCCCAGAGCCCGGGAGCCTCTAGAGCTGGCGAGGTGAGAAACAGATTCTTCCCCACACCCTCCAGAGAAACGGAGCCCTGCACACACGTCGATTTTAACCCCACCGGACACACTGTGGACTTCTGACCTCGAGAATGGTAAGAAAACAGATCTGTGTTGTTTTCAGTCAGCAACGTTGTGGAAATTTGTTATAGCAGCCACAGAAAACTCCTTACGAACTAGTTCTTTGGGCTCCGTTTCTTCATCTCAGAAATGAGAGACCTCTACCCAGCTCACAGAGCCATCGTGTGTATTAAAAGGTAAGTCTGGGGCACCTGGGTGGCGCAGTCGGTTAAGCGTCCGACTTCAGCCAGGTCATGATCTCGCGGTCCGTGAGTTCGAGCCCCGCATCAGGCTCTGGGCTGATGGCTCAGGGCCTGGAGCCTGTTTCCGATTCTGTGTCTCCCTCTCTCTCTGCCCCTCCACCGTTCATGCTCTGTCTCTCTCTGTCCCAAAAATAAATAAAAAACGTTGAAAAAAAATTAAAAAA